CCTTCTTCAGCCTCCATCACCTGGATCTCTTCAGCATCATAAACTGCTGCTGCTTCGATTGCTTCTGCTGCCGGTGCGCCAGAAGCTGAAAGATTGTAGGCTTCCTCTTGAACTGAGGCATTTCGCATCACCCCATCAAGCTCCTCGCCTTGGGCAAGTGAAGGTGAACAATCACTAAGATGACCCTCATTCGAATCTGCATCATGCACAAGCTCAATTCCGGCAGCTGTGTTAGCCAGAGCGGCGTCTGCACTCTTGCCAGCTGCGTCAGGACTTACAGCATTTAGGCCTGCCGCAGGAAATCCGCGGAGGTACTGGGCAGCACGTTCATGTTGTAGACATACACACCATCTTCCTGCCAGACTGCAATCTTGTCACCTGAGCTCTTGTCAAGGATGTAGGACTCACAGCCCTCCTCATCAAGCCAAATGCCAAAGCCTTTGTTGCACACGCTTGCTGCAGACGTAAGGACTTTGCGCACATCGGCCACACTGTAGCTAACGGCGAGCATGAGACCCTCATCTGTGGCGAAGACTGGATCCACACGACTCTCATCATGCACCAAGCCACCATTTGCAGCTGCATATGCCATTCCGCGTTCTGAGCTTTCAGTGGCCCTAACTGGGTAGTCAGGGAAAGCTTGCTTGGGAGCCACAGAAGCTGCTGCTCCAGAGTCCAAGGTTGCTTGCACCCGAGAGGTGCCAGAGCTCGAAGTTGCAGGTGCAGACACCAAGCTGCTCACACCGATCTTGCCGGGCTCATACAAGTGAAGGCTGTTGAGACGCGTCACCTGCAAGTTGCTTACAGGCATGCCTGCGGCCACGCTTGCTGGGGCAGCACTGGCCTGCAAACCTGGTGGAGGTACACTGCTGGAGCTTGCGCCTGCTTGCACAGGCACTGATTGGCTGCTTATGCTCTGCTGTTGCTGGTAAGCCTCCATAGCTGCTTTGGCAAAAGCCGACTGCAAAGCACTGAGCTGGGGATCAATGCTGGCCAGAGACTTTGGCTTCTGGTACACACGAAGTTCCGATTGCGAGCTCTCATCCTCCACGGCCATCTCTGCAAACTGGCCCTCAACAGGCAGCGGGTTTGCACCACTGTTTGCTGGAGGCTCCACATGCACATTGCTACCACCTGGGGCTTCTGCAGGTGGCACTAATTTTCTGGCCTTAGACTGCCCAACCATCCTCGTAGACGGTTTCGCCGATTTAGAAGCCGAGCTGTCACGTAGCGCAGGCAAATCGAATTCGGAAACTGTTGAGTCTGTATCTGCGGAACGCTTTTCTGGACCAGCAAGTTTCGCTGAGTCTTCCATCTCTTGGCGAACCTTGTCAAAGTACTTCATTTCACGCTCCTGAGCCTGCTCTATTCGAGCTCGGCCCTGCTCATCTTGCTGCATGGCTTCATAAAGACGGGAACGACACCGTTGACTGTGATGACGCCGCGCCATGCCAAATTCTGCTGCGATACAACCATCGTAACCTGGAGTGTAACCATACTTCAAAAATTCTTCTTTGCGCAAATAAACCCCTCGAGGCACATACTGCTGTTGCTTGTTGCTTGGCTCCTCAACTGTAAACGCAGGCGCCTCTGGCAAGTCTATCTGCAGAGGTCGCTCAAGCATTGGGCTCACTATCCCCTCACTCGGCTGTGGAGGACGCAGTTTCCAGGGCAGTCCAAGAACAGCTTCTATCTGCTTGCTGTCCCATTTGTCGCTTGGGGGTTTGAGCTTCACCAACACTGCTCCTTGGAGCGGCCAAGCTTTTGGCACACAGTACAGTAGGCGGCAGTTGATGCTGACGGTTTGCCTTTGCCTGCGCCAGCACCCTTGCGTCCTGCAAACTTGCCCTTGCCTTTGTTGCCGGGCTTGCCAAAGCCAGGCCCTTTAGCTCCCTTTCCATCGCCTTGCTTTCCAACGCCTTTGGCTTCAGCACCTTTGCCCTTTCCTTTCCTGCAGTCCCTGGCCAAGTGCTCACCACCACAAAGGAAACAGGGACCCTTGCGACGCGTAACTGCTCCAATATCCATGGCCGTGTTTGCTACTTGGTAGGTAGCCTCCAAGTAACCGAAAATCTCTTCCCGGATGTCTTGGAACGTCTTGAAGCGATGAGCATTCAGGTTGAGATGTTCACGCAGCTTGCCCGGACACATAGCAACCACCGTGGCAATCTTCAAGTTCTCACTAACCACGTCTGAGCCGGGCCGTGCCTCATACTCAATGATGCGGTTCTCCCACGAGATGATTTCAGCACCAAGCTGCGCGAGTGGAACATTCTCCTGAGGGTTGGTGATGCGTGTGAGGTTGGCACGCTGCCTCCCCACAGTAGCAGGGTTGAACCTCACATGCAATCTTCGCCATGCTTCGAAACCATTGGGTCTTCTGGCTTGCTTCACCACGGCTTTTGGCTCAGCTCCTGTGTAAGAGCTAAGACACGCGTAAATGTTGGAATCTGCATAATCAACCAACAACGGGTCTACATCAGGAAAATGAAGCTTCACAGTTTCTTTATCCAATGCAGTCTTTGGTTGGTCGTTGGCGATCCACTCCAACACTTCCCAAATGCCAGGCATGCTAGCATCCAGGAAAGTCACCATGGTGTCTTGCCAGTCATGGAAGCTCTGCTTGGACTCTTTGCTGGCATCGTACACAGAAGGCTTTCCAAGATTCTTCTGATCAACTGCACCGTGTTGGATGGCGTAAGCCACCGCTGGGTTCACTCTAGCCCCTCCGGTCAAGTTGAAAAGCTGAGGTCCGAGTGGGAGAGCTGAGGCCGAAGCTGGCTGTCCGGGCACGGCACCAAGTGGTGAAGGAACGGCACCTGCACTAGTCCCTGGGGACCCTTGCGCTGCTGCAGCCGCGGGCTGCGCAGTTGGACTGCCGCCAACTGCTGCTGTTGGAACCGAAGTTGAGCCAGACATCGTGGAAACATTCTGTGACAATACCTGCAACTGCTGCTGCAAAGCACCAAAACTGGAGACAACTTGCGACATCTGATCAATGCCTGTCTGTTGCCCTTGCACCGTTTGAGCTAACTGCGTGAGCTGGTCCGTTGTTGCCTGCTGCAGCTGGGAGAACGCCAACTGCACTTGCTGAACGACCTCACCAACAACTTGCTCTGTCACAACTTGAGTGCCAGCCACGCCTTGCTGGGTTTGAGCGACTTGCTGAGCTAACTCCTCAACACGCGATCTCTGCATCTGCTGTTCATTGACTAGCTGTTGTAACAAATTGCCTATGTCTGTCAATGATGGTGCTCCGGCTGTGCCACCACCATCTGCCATACTGCTCACGAAAACTGTAAAAT